GAACAAACAGCATAAACTTACATGCACACATGAAATTCCTTGTTCCTCAAAGCCCAAAAGGCAGAAGGATAACTTTAAAAATCAGTCTCCCGTGCTCTGCTATGTTTTGGATTGAAGGAGCTAGAAAGAACAGTACAGAAGCTGGTTACCAGAACCTTTTGCTAAATACAACTTATTCTGAATGAAGGTATGTATTTCAGAAAACCTGTTTCCAAATCCCAAGTTAGGCTGCAAAAGAAAATTTATTTAAATATCTTAATCATCACTGCTGCATCACTCCCTGAGGAGAAGCTGCCACATTCCAGTGCAGCTGGAATTCAAGTGGTGAGCCCCGATGGAGGGGTTATTGCAGGTCACAACAGTCACTGGAAAAACAAAGAAAAAAACCCATGAATCCTCCTAGGCTCAGCTTTCCTTTTACCCTGCTATTGGTGATGTTTCAGCAAATGACCTTGTCACTATATTTTATATTATATCTCTGTTATTGTCACCTCTTACCAGTACCATATTTTTCCAAATAATTTTATTTACTACTAARTTTTACTTAAAACTGAAAATAAAAAAAAAAGAAAGGCTTGAATCCATATTTCAACTGTAACACCAAGCAATAAATAAAATATTCCCAAACAACCTGTTGTTTAAAATAATGCAGCAGAAACCAAGCACAGATAAATATAAGGTCACTAATTTTTTTACAATCTCCCARGTTTTGGGTACTGACCCAACACTCCCCTGGAACAGCACGCTGTGAGTGCTAGGTCCCTGTGACTGGAGTGGCTATAACTGGTGCAGGGTGCTCAGCACTTCCCAAGAATAAAAGTTAACTTACAGACCTCCTGTTGGAATATATACTTCAAGTCAATAGCCATTCAAACTTACCTGCTTATCCCTGAAATGCCAGATGTGAATAAAATGTTGCATTCATGGCTTCAGGAATGTTGTAAGGCTTTCTCAGCCACAGTAACCTTCCCTTGAGTATGCTAGGAAAAGCTTTTTTATAGCAGAGAAAGATTCAACACAACAAAATAAACCAGGAAAAATAAGAATATTTAGTATTTATCTTAATGTTCACTAGATATTATACATACCATCTTTAAACATAATCTAGATTTCTTCAAAACCTGTCCAAGCACTTGGAACACTGTTTTTGAGAAGGTCTCTATAAAACACRAGTTCCATGTGAAAATAACTGCACTGTGGAAAGATTACAGCCAGCAGACAGCCCTGAATGAATATTATAGAGGCACAGAAAACACTCTTGAGAACACTTGTCTTGATTGCTTTAATCATATTTATGCTAACAAAATTATGACACAGGCTTAATATTCTTAAGATAAGAAATACATCTATGTGAGATTTGAAAAGTTCCATGAAATGTGCTTACAGCAATCCCATGCAGAACAGCCACTACCCATAGGTTTGTTATTCCTGTTGAAGAACAAGTAAAAATATCAGAAAGTGAAAAAAGAAATAGCAATTGCTTCTTGCAAATATAATAACCCCTTCAGATTTTTAACTAAAAGCAAGTAGATTAGAYTCTGATCTCTGTTACATTCACACAGTCACAACCTCCCCAGGAGTGTGCATCCACAACTACTGGCAACTCTTTAATTAAAACCTGGGCCAATATGGGCATTAATTTAAACTCATGTTAGATACGTGTTATCTATGTGATAACAGCCCATATAGAGTTAATATTCTATCCATACATCTTTTCTTGGTGAATGTTAAATGACTATATGTATAGGATCTGAGAAGTAATTTGTCCTTTTAGGTCAAGTCACATGAGAGCTTGTCAATGAGCTAAATCTGTTGAATCTTCTTTGCTGGAGTATCTCTCCCCACTTAAAAAAAACTTTCACAAAAGAACCATGTTTTTTTAATAATGTCTTGGTATTCTGACATTGCAGCACACGAAATGGAAAACTGACCATCAGCTGAGTAAATAAGGACAAAATCAGGAAAAAATACTAGTTAAAGACTAGACAATCAAAAGGCTGTAATGAATTATTACTRTTCTCTCAAACCCAAACCAGCTGCATTACCCTCCCCCCAGTATSCATTACTATAAGGTTTCACAATGCAGTAACTGCTTGGGCAAACTTCTGAATGTCTCCACTTGTACTCACAGCGAGCCCTCACCAGGGGCTGCAATCATTCCCTATTTAATTACATTTCTTAACTAGAAGGTATGACTGCTGTGTGGGTACACCTTCCCCAGACAAGAATCAGGCAGACCTAAGACTAGTGCTGATGTTTTGATCCAGCACTTTGACTTGTGCAAGTCAAACCTTCACCAAACTAGGGGTCCAGCCAACAGACAGCCCCGGGGCAAAATCTGAGTATTTGGGTGCTTCACTGAGTCAGGATTGTGAGTCAGACAGGCTGCAAGCTCCAGCAAACTGCAGTGGGAAGGCAGGTTTTAGCTAACTGTATGAAAAAACTAGATTGTGTGTATATGTGTGCGTGTGCGTGTGTGTGTGTGTGTGTGTGTGTTTTTCTGTTTTTGTTTGAAGAATTAAAATATTATATCTATATTTCACATCCTGTGTAATAAAGCCCCATCAGTAAATACTAAACTGTTCAAGTTGGGGTTTTTCTGGGGTTGGGTTTTTTTTTCACAAACAAAGCCATGCATGTCTTAGCAGATACACAGCTACACAATATCTGTRTATGTTTCTTCATTAGGTAGAACACCCCTCAATTTAATGAAATCTAGGAGTTTATTTTGAAATCAAATTGCAACAATATATAACAATAAGAATTTTCTCTTCAGAAAAAAAAACCGTAACTCATGGAACATTTTCAATTTTGGTTATTTATTCCCTTCAGGTTCCTTGATATGGTACAATATCAGTGTAATATCCCTGACAGAGGTTTAGCTACACTTTCAGAAAAACAGTTGTGCATAGAAGCATATAGCGACTCTCCTCTTAAATGTCAATGTTCATATGATCTGAAAAAAAGGAAAGAAAACAGTGCTGAACTGCTGTTAAGTACAACATTATTTGCAAGAGGGAAAAGTAACAACAGTTTGTGATACAACTTCTATTTAACACTTAGCACAGTGCTCCAAAACAGAGCTGGAAATAATTATTTATTGGCTCATACAACTATGAGAAATAACAGMCTTTTCATATCTGCATGTGGTTAAGTCTGGATTTTGTTTACCTCAGTAAACACCATCTATGTTTACATACATATGAGCTGAATATAGATTAGTCCTTCTTTTAAGAAACAGGCATTACTTATCATTGAATGCATGAGTGTTTCCTTATATATGTATATGTATATAAAATATACATAAAATATATATGCACACATTATATTAATCTAATAATTATTTTTTCCTTAAAATATACATAAATTTACATATTACAATAAATCTGTATCACAGACTAYAGGACCATAAGGAATGCAAAACTGAAATTGTGCTAAACCAGTTTCACACGATTTTATTTGCTTAACCAGCACTACACAGAATTTAAAYCACATGTAAGTGGGCAAGAAAATCAAACTACTTACAGAAGATTATGCATACATGTTTAAATGTCCTTTAAAAATAAGACCATAACAAAGCCACTTCTCAATACAATCAGAACATCTAATTATGTCTGAACTAACAAGCAAATTAACTACAGAAATCGTTAAGAAAGTTTACAAATTTGATAAATATCACACTCTTTGGCCTATGTCCAGGACTAATTGCTTCAGACAGAACTGAGCAAACTTCACCTTTGTGGGAAACAAATTAATTAGCTTCTTAGTAAAAAAATGAAAAAAAAATTCAGAGACTGAAAATTCAGAAAACATCCCCCCTCAAAAAAAGACTTGGTAAGCAAAGCGATCATAAAACCRAGATGCTTATTAACCATACAGATTTGTGTTCTATGAGACTGAACATTACTCAGCCACTACTGAAAACAGATAATTAAAATAGCCAATTATGTTACTGACATACATAATTTTGACTCAAAGTTACTTAAATTATTATGCTATAAATGTTAACACATTCACCTTATAGACATCTCAATGATATGGCCCATATGAAAATTCACTTAATAGTGAAAATCTCCTTCCTCTGTTGTGCAATAAAACTACCTCACAGAGACTATCTACGGTTACTTGCTCACTTCACTACCCAGGTCACAGTGCATGGTGTTTTCCTTGATTTAACATATCCCATCTTAAAACACACTCGTGATGGGAGGTGGTATTGGGGCTGAGTCACACTTGGCTCTGACCCTGCTACATCTGTTTGGGCTAAAGGAGAACTTTAACTCCAGTGAAGGCAGCAAGTTACTGAGTCTTTCTCACTGGTGGTTGACAAAGAAGCCTGGTGGTGCACGACATAATCAAGATCATGAGATCAGGTTGCCCCTGGCATGGTGGGTCTCTGTGCTGCTCCCTGTCACCACCACTGCCACCCTGCTCTCCTCTGGGCAGTTCACTCTCTTCATTTACTCTGCTCCTCTGCATCTACACGAAGAGCAAAGCTGGCTTGTGAAGGTAGCTGATAACTAACCTTCCAGAAAAAAAAAAGCACCAAAACCACCCAACCTTTTTGACAGGTACTATTTCTACTTTTTCATGTAGAGCAGCCTAGCACCTAAATCTCATAAGGGGCAAACATGGCAGGTTTCATGGATATCAACTTTGTCTGTGTAAAAACATATWAAAAAATAATACAACTTTCTGCTTTCTGACTGGCAGAATCGCTTTGAAAAAGATATTAATGTTCCCCTAATTGTAGAAAGATTAAGTACAAACAACTAAAGAAAGTGTTGTGATTATAATTACGACATTTTAACATAGCAGAATGATCACGTTCTTCTAAATTATTGATGTGAAAAAACAGTTTCTCTATATCGAGAACAGATTACAGTATAAAAAAACATCAATCTTCACAAACATAGCAGAATGTATCAATTTTTCGSAAGATTAGACTGTAGCACTGTAATCACAAACTTCATACTGTCGCAACTTCTATGAAAAAATGAAAGGTTTACCTGCCTAAAATCTGGTTTATTTGAAGAACTAGCTTCCCAGGAAGAGAGGCAGTCTTAGGCTAAAAATCTAAATACAGATTTACATTACGGTATCACTATATAATTACATATAAGTAAAGAATATAAAAACAAGAGACATTTCAACAATCTTTTTATAATACCAGAAAGAGAGAAAATTTAATTTTTTGCTGGTTAAAGCCTGTTCTTTCTTCGACCAAACTAGAAGTAACTTTTAGAAATTGTGCAGCATATTTTGATTTTGGTATCTTATGTGTGCAAATTTGAACTTTCCCAAAGCAGTTTATTTTCTTTAATATAGCTAGGYCATGTGTGTTTCTATACTACAAAGCCTACCTTATTAAAAACTTTCATGAAACATTTGGATTTTTGTGTCAATTTTTGTACCGACTACTGGGAGAATATTTACTCTCCACAGAACAGTGAACACGACTTTCTACTTCCAAAAAGATAATCCATATATGTTTTCAACACTGTTTTCCAGTTGACAGAACCAATCAACATCAGTGATATATTTCATATAACTTCTAGTCAATTATGTCGGGGMAAGAATTTTAATAAACATTCTGTTATATTTTGTGTATTATTTTTGGCACAGTTTTATGTTTTATAAAGAAAAATCTTTGCCCCACCATAATAATCAGCATGTATTGGTGCATACCTTTGGTGAGAACCTGCTTAGGTTTTTCATTATAATCAAAAGCCTATTCTGAAGGGTTGTTAAGAGTCTCACCTCCTTTGGTTTGCAGTGGTATGCTGAGAATGTCAGCCTCTGTGGATGGCTCATTGTTCATGCTGATGCAATATAATGGTTCCCCCAAGAAAGAAGGTTTCTTCAATCTTTTTGTCTTGAGTGCTCTTGACATAAAGTAACCTTTAGTAATACTCTTATCTCGCATCTTCTGTAAACCTTCTAGGTCATCAGGTTCCTCTGTTTGGGCCAGTGAATCCTTTGATAAGTGACTACCAGCCAATGCTTTGCTGATAGAGCAGCCAGGGAATTTTCTCTCTGCATTAACACATAAGCTTTTGTCTTTGAGCCCAGCCTTTTCCTGAGCCATTAACACCCCTACAATATGGTCTTCAACTAACATTTTGGAAAGACTAGATGTGGAGTGAAGAGTGGAGTCTTGACTTGTGTAACAAGGGGGACTTAATCCAAAAGAAAGAGATTCCTGAGACTTTGGCATGGTAACGTTACTTATTGTTCTCTGAGGCTGCATACATTCTTCCAGAAGGGTCTTAAGCTGCTCTTCAGAGAGGCTCGTTTGTTTTGCAGCCTGAAAAAAAAAAAAAAAAAAAAAGTGAGAATTTCTTCTGTCAAAATATAATTAATGAAAAGCAGCGCCATAAAACAGCTTGAGAGATACACTGCCAGAATTCTTAAACAAATACCAATGTTTTAAAATTCAAACTGAAATTACATATACTTCTCCATAATTATGAAATTTATCCAGCATCCTCACTAGGTTCTAGATAGATTTTGTGATGAAAGTAGGAAAGAAGTCTGATGTCTACTGAAGGTACTGAGGCCTTTGATTTTGCATAGTTGTCCATGAATCTGACTGGTTTTTAATTACCAGAGCACGTACCTTTTCATATATCTTGGTTTGTTGTGCAAACACACACACACACATGTTAAGATTTTAATTATTGAAAGCAAAATAGCATATTGCTAAATGACTGTTGGGGCAATGCTCCTGGGTCAGAAATGGTTTTAGACAGCACCAGCCCACAAAAACTGTCACACAGTGACTGAAACATTGCCAGCCTCTCACGGTAGAAATGCCACACAGGCTCTCTCAACCGTGTGACACAAAGTGTATCAGTTACCCACCACAGCAAGCATGACCCATGGCGTGTGACACAAGAAAGCTCCCTCTTCTCTTGGACAGTTTTAGTGCTTCCTTGGAGCGGTCACTGCTCGCACAGCTCACAGATGTATCTTTTCTATTCATTTCTTACTCAGAGAGTGGCACACTCCCATCAGTTTAATCACATAGATCTCCTTTATTGGACATTTCTTAAAATTCGATGTTAAAGATAATKACTGGTTATGGTGAAGAACAGCAAAGGATATTTTGCTTAAAGAGGTTAGTAATAGGGAGTTAATTCCAGCTTTTACAATCCTTAATGCTCCTGAAAACAGAGAAGCACAATATTCCCTGACAATTTAAAGATTATAATAAGTACAGGACTATTTTCAGCTATGCATAATACATTTGCCCATGAAATAGGAGCTAGAGAAAATAACATATACTAAAAATGTTGGAAACACTATGCAACATTTGATAGAAAAAAATGCATAAGCACTTACATAGATAACATGCAAAATATAATGACTTCTCAAATTTTACTTAGGTTTCTAAATTTTAATCCTAGTGCAGAAAGTACTCACTGATGAAAAGTAATTCAGGGAAAAACAATTAGCAGCAAAACATTATGATGAATCAAAAATGAAACACAAGATTTTTCAAATTTTCACTCTTAATCAAATCTACTAGCCCATGCAGAAGTCCTTCAATTTCTTGAAGAACAACATTTGTTTCCAAGTAGTGATTATCAGAATAAACTCACTGTAAGAAACAAGATACATTCACAGAGGAAGAGCATMACTAAGAGACCACAACTGGAAGCATAGCTGCATTGAGAGTATATCCACAGAGCAGACTAGGCTACGTAAACATCACTATATTTGTAACACAGAAGAGTCTCACATCTGGAAACCCACATGGATTCCCACATGGTTTTGAGTGTATGGTTCTATGCTAACATATTTCAAGGCTCTCAGCCAAGATCATTTGGAGCTAATTTTATGTTAATGACAGGGCAATTCACTCACTGCAGAAAGGAATTATGTATATGGAGCAAATGAATGATCGGTACAAAATTAACAATGTGAGAAAGATCATCTGCCTTTTTTCTGTCCTTTTACTTCCCCTATCCCCACCTCATTTATCTGTAGTCTAATTTTCCTCATCCAATGTTGTTTTTTTCTTTCAGGAAAATCATAGGCTTGTATTMATAGGTTACCTTGATTATTACCAGAGGGGCAAGTGAGAAGATTTAGAGCCTAAGGCATATGGAGAGGGAAATGAGTATTACAAATATAGAGTTAAAAAGTTTGGGAACTAGTGAGCTTGTTTTTCTTCAGAGTGGCAGGCCTGCAGCCAAAGCAGACAGTGTAAAACATTTCTTTGCTTCTTCCTTYTTTTATTCTCTTCCTCCCTTTGGTTTTTTATAAGACACGCATTTAAAGATAATTGAAGTATTTAATAAACCTCTCCAAAAACTACATTTTAAAATACTAAAAGTGCATTGTTATTTTCTTTTGCCAAACTCGTGAGATGACTATAGGTTTAAGGAAAAAGACACAGTGGAGGAGAAGATAAATAGCCATCAGTCACCCACTCAGCAGTCAGGAATTTACACTGAAATGAAAGCAAAAAGGCTGCTGTTAAAATCAGAGTTTAGGGAAGGAAACAGAGTTTGGGAAACATATAACACCATAGGGAAAGACATTTCACAGCAAAAAAGGCTATGCCTTTGCAACCAAATGAGTATTTGAATTCATGGAATTGCAAAATATAACAACTGTATTAGGAGTTTGCAAAGTATTTATTTGCACACACCAGAAGCAATCCCGCCACAACTAACGGTAAGAACTCRGCCATGACACTTGGAATCAGTAACAGTCTTAGGGAGACACTGGATTCCGCATCTCCCAAGCTTTCACTGCCCTCACTGTAAATAATTTACAGCTCCTATACAGAAAAAATACTTCAAGACGTTTATTTAAAAATACAAGGACATAAAATTAATGTCATTCAAAATGCAGAAACAGCCCACTAGACAAGGGAAAATGAGGTATCAGGTCTGGTTCCCATTAAAAACTGGAAAACCTTTTAATTGTTCTGGCTAATTTTTAATAGGACATTGAGTCCTATTCATTTCCTAGGCTTTTTTACCGTTAATGATGCAAAAAACTAATTCCTAGCCAGGAGTTTAGGAGCCTGCTAATGACCTTTACTGTTTATGTGTGGTTAGCTTTTCACACACTTGTGGCCCTTCTCTGACTGAAGATTYCTTGTTCCTTGCTGAATTCCTCTGTGACAGGAGTCTATAGAGAAAACCTTACTGCATGTGGTAGGAATGCAAACTTGTAGTTCGCTGTGGACAGCCCTGCTGTGACTACAAGTCTGCAAGCTCAAATCTTTAGGCTTCCTTTCTACACCTACACAGTAACAAAAACAGACTAACACTGAAAGCCTTATCAGATTTTACCATGGGGAGAAAGCTAATATGTCAGGATTATTTCTAATTATAGTAAATAATCATAAAATGACACACAGTAAATGAGTAAGTGCTATAAAGTCAGGACTATTTAAGGACTCATGTAAGCAAATTCAGTTGCTTAGTCTGAAAGGGCTACAATCAGTAGTTCTCAGGATAYTTTATTTGCTTGAAATAATTTACTGTGATGCTCTAATTTGCTAAGGTTTTTACTGGTGTGTGAGACTGGAACAGTTAATTCTAAGGTAACTGCTTTCCTCCTGACAAAAGGACTCCATTTTAAGAGAATTCTGATCTATGGAGACAGATTTTGACAGATCAGCACAGGGAAGTTTTGTAAGTTTTAGCTATTTGATAACTGAATAAGAGTTTCTCAAACAGTTCTATTCTGCTTTGAAAAGGCAAATCTTGCATTCTATCTGCACATAACTCAACTCAGTGTGCACCATCAACTCCAAGGTGCCACCTTTCTGCATCACACCCAAGCATCATGTAGTCAACCATGAAGTGGTCAGTGCAACTGTGGAATATTATTCCTATGCTGCATACAAACCACACACCTCATGTCATTGTGGAAGAGTTTCTTACAATTTCCAGAAATGTTGAAAGCCCAAAGTTCTTTTACACCACAGAAATCAGTTTGGTGTCCATAACTTGCAAACTGATTTAAATGAATGCAATATGTCCATTGTGGATTCATCCCAGTAGGCAGCTACGCACTGCACAGCTCTTTACTCCCCACCCCCTCACCCCAGTGTRACAGAGARGAAAGGCAGAGTAAAAGCAATAGAACTTGTGGATTGAGACAAAAATTGTTTCATAAGWRAAGAGAAAAAGAGAAAGAAAATGAAACAAGAAATGYAAAGGCAATCACCCTGCATCTTCCATGGGAGACCAACACCCAGCCAATTCTGAGCAAAAAATGGTAGAACTCTCTCTTTTCCTTTTTTATTACTGTGTATAAGATTACATGCATTGGCAYGGAATATCTCTCGGGTTAGATTGGGTCATCTGCCTTGCATCCCAGCCTACTGCACATCCCCAGTCTATTCACCGGGAGGGCAGAGTGAGAGCCAGAGAAGGCCCTGATGCTGTGAAAATACTGTTCAGCTAAAATATAGGTGAGTTAACAGCATTTTTTGGTCACAAATGTGAAACACAGCACCCCATAGGCTGCTATGAAAAACATTAACATCCCAGCCAAACCGAGTACAGAACCCCACACATCCTCTTTCACAAAGAAATTATGTTCAGGATGTCATTTTACTGCTTCTGGTGCTTGATTGTTCCACAAACACTATATAAAGAGAAAAAGCTCAATCAATGTAAACTAAAAAACTCAATCTTTCCTCTGTAAAGCTATTTCAGAAGAGTTAGTTCAGAATGCAACAACAGAAAATATTAAAGGGAGTAGTCCAGAAATATGCTCACAACTCAGTGAGGATGTTTTTGGAGAGGCCAGTGATGTGTATGGATTTGATGGTGTTAAAAATGGAGACTGAAAGCTGAATAATTGATTCAGAAATTAAGAGCTCCTTGTGCTACAATCATGATTCACCTSTGATGGTTCTGTGCTTATGTCTAGTGGGCTTGGGGATTTCTGTACTGTTTCAGGAAAAGAAATACATCTTCAAGAATGAACAGGATTCCTAAGTCATAGGAGAAAAATCTCCTGCCTTTGTTTTTTCCTCCTCTGCTGTCTTTCCTTCTGTTAGTTAAATTTTTCCTTCTCTTATATTTTCCACTGTTTCTGTTTGTGCAAGGGTAGAATGAAAAGATCTACTAGTCAATTTTTGGTAGCTAAGATCCAAATAGCAGAAAGGACAGAATTATCTTGGCAAGAAAACAGAAGCACCAGACAAAACGAGGATGAGATTAGTGAGCATCTGGTAACATCACTGTCTGAAAAGAAAATTCAACTTGTAACACTATGAGCCATCAGAACCTCAATATCAAAGTGATTATCAGCCTCATGGAATACTATAAA